GATTAAATTAGGTTCGCTTATATCCTAAAAGTAAGTATAAAACCCTATTAATTCTAGTTTAAATTCTATAAGTATTATAATATAAGAAGCGAGTATAAATTAAAGCTAAAACCCTTAATAAATAAGTATAAAAGAATTAATTTAAATATTAAATAATTTAAATAAGTTTTAATCTTATATTATTTAAGAGATCTAAGAATAAAGTTCTTTTTTAATTTCTTACCTAATTATCTCATATCCTAGGTTTATTCTAATAGGCTTTATAAACGAGACGTGCGTTAGCTAGTAGTATTTAGAAATACGAATATATGCACCTAAAAGAAGCACGTTAAGCATTAAACGAGTTTATTAAAGTTAAAGTATCTTAAGCACTTATCTTCTTACCGTGTAACTAGTTACGTGGGGAATAGGTAATTAAAGAGGCAAAAACCTTAGTAACTAATAAATTTAGCCACGCTGCTTAGGAGAGGGAGAGGAGCAAGTTTACTACGTAGACACGAAGCAGAGCGAGTTGGACTAGATAGCAGATAGTCAGATGTGAATATATGGACTGTTATGGACTGTTGTTACCCCATTGCGTTGAGGAACGAAATATTCTTCCTTCCGCTCCTTTCTCCAGGGCCTAAAATTAAGCTTTGACCGCAGAACGATCCCGTGCTTACCGCCTGCACCACAATCTTTGCGCCACAACAATCTAGCCGCCCACCTACAGGCCTTTTCCGACCCTGATTGATTGATTGATTATCCCAGCCGTCTAATTTGGTGGCAGCAATGTGAGCCCAATTCTTGGGAGTGCAAAACTTTCCTAGGGGTCTGGTGAATATCCTTGATTGCAATTTCTCCAGAGAACTCCCTTTGAACGGACCAGTCTTCTGGGACTTCTGCGTATTTTTACACCTACACTTTACTCTACGCTTGGGAAGACGGCTCTGAACTGTTGGGAAGACTTTCGCAGCGACATAAGCTTCATCTCGTGTCAGAAATGATTCAGACCAGCCTTAGTTGCGGCGAGTGCCTTCGCCACGCTCGTTTGTGCCGGTGTCGTGCAATCACAAGCTTTCTAACTTGCGTACATGCGGTACTGGCAGCTGCAACTTTCCACCCTAATAGGTGCCAGTAACCAACCAGCTTTGACTGCTGGTATCCTAGTGTGCTGGTAACCGCTAAAGTGTTACTGCTGGTAGTCCAGAGGTACCAGTAATCGCTACATCCCTTATTGCTAGCAGCTAAGCGCTACCAGAAGCTCTTAATTAGCCGTTAATGGTAGCTCTTCGTGCTGGTAGCTTGCCTAACGTCGTGACTGGTAGACCATCAATACGCAGCCCAAGGATGCTGGTAACCGCCGTGGCGCTCCTTGGGAGTGACTGGTAGCCACATCAGTCAATTCCGTTGGGCCAGGCAGCTATCTCGCCAAATTGCTAGTAACCCCGCAAAACGCTTTTTGCTCTTTCAGAGCTGTTAACTTCTACAAGTCACCACAATTTCAAAATTCCAAAATTTCGATATAGTTTGTTACACAGAAAGCTAGGCCTACGGTGCATAAGTTGATTCCAACATTCCCACGACGGATTGGCACAACAGACTTCCGCGAAGCCCTAGAGGAGAGGTACGAAGGAATAATGCGCTTTGACGTAAACCCATTCTGTCTTGGCTTTATCCCCACGAGGGCGTTAATACCTTTGCGTTTGTGCTTGGAAACACACAGCAGCATCTCAGCGCCTTAGTCGCAGCTGCAATCCAGCACCTAGTCGCAGCGCGTGCCCCAGCCTGGGGCTGGGCACCATTTGACTCGACCTTGCAACGGCATTTCACAGCCGGCTACTGGCTCCAAGAATCGTCATAGTATCCCAATAACGGTGGCGAAACCCCGGTTTTGGGCTAGGTATTCGTCCTCTAATTCCTACGTGCAGTGATTACATGTTACCTACTCTTAAAACAACACCCGTCTTGCCTTCTGAATCCCCAAGATATCCCATGGCTCAGGCCTAGTTTTTTCCATCCACTTTTGCCAATCGTGTTCCAATGGATCGCAAAATTTCATCATCTGTGCATACTCCCAATAGTCAGGGAACCACCCAGAGGATTCCCAGTCAAGCAGAGCAGTAATAGTGGCGCTTTCGTCTACGATAATATTCCGAGGGCCGATGTCGCCATGAGTGAAGACCGATACTCTAGAGCGTGGAAGTAAGTCAAGAAGGTCCTGGCTAGCATGGTAAGAAAGTCCATTAGAGTTAACGAATCGGGTGTAAATACGGTTACGTAATGTGTCATCGTCCAGATCTCGTGGTGGGATGTCACCGCTGCTACCGAGGAGGGGGTCTTAAGAAGGAGAACCATCGATAGTGCGGTAAAGCTTGGAACCTAGATTATTAGGACGGGGGATAGTCCGAATTTTAGCGATGAGGTCCCAAATATCTCGACAAACACGGCTCTTCGATCCTTCGTCCAGTTCGGCCCAAGCCAGCTTTAGTGTCCTTCCTGGCACGAAGTCCATGGACAGCTCCCCATAGAAAGGCACGCCTCCTTTATATCTATAAAGTGATCCGTGAATATTAGGAATGGGCACCTCTGGAGCGTGCTCCTTTATAAGGCGCATTGCTCTCTCTTCGGACGGCCGCACCTTGGCACCTTGTTTGACAATAAGCCCAGGCCGGACTAGCGTGACAGTGCATCCAAACTGCCATGCAATCTGACGTTTTTTGAAATTTGTGTCATCTGGAACGTGTTAAACGTAATCACATAGCAAAGAACTGGGTCCCTTACATTCTTCAGATTCGTAGTCGCTCATATCTTCATTTTTTTTGATTTGCTTTCACCAAGAGCTGGAGGTCTGGTTAGACGGCCCAGAATATGAGTAATATGAGTAACTCCAGTTGTGGCCTTAGGCTACCTTAGGGCGCTAAGATTAGCCATGCCTGAAACTTCAACTCGGCCGCGACTAAGTATGCGACCGGCCCTATTTATAGTCACAGTCTCAGAAATCAGACGATCTCGTCGTCTCGTCGCAAGGTCAATATGCATATCCGATACCAGCATGACACGCAAGCAATCCACCTCAAATAGTCAAGAGATTTAAACGCGCGGGTACTCATTTCGCAGTCTCCCGGATATGCAAGACGTTTCTCGAAACTATTTAAATGACAGCAATAGAACACCAAACGGACCGACGTTTCTCATGTGAACCTTATCGCTAAAATCTCAAGCTTAATTTTGCACAGGCACGGGACTCCTCATATTAATACTACATCTTCCTTCTCCCGGAACAATTCAAAGATGGCCGATGTTGAACCTACTGTCGTTAGCCATGCAGTACGTCATGGCAGAGAGTACGTGGAGTACTCTGACGGTTCACAATGGACCCGCAAAGTAGATCGCAAGACGGGCAAGCCCCGTAGTGAATGGACAGCAATTGAGGCGCCGGTGGCGCAAGAGACTGAGCCCGCAACCCTGTATCTCTGTGTTGTCGTTCAACACCAGGCTGAAAATGAGCCTAAACACTGGTCTTTGTTCTCCTACCGACCTGACGACACAGGGACTGCTAGGGGCCAAGTTTGGCAGGTCAAGGGCGACGCAGAACATATGCGCCACCAGCACGCCTCCGACACCGATATTCTGAACTCTGCGTCCTTTGCTTGGCCAGAGTCGACCAAATTGCACGGTCGGAGGCGGCACCGCGTGCCGCAAATCGGGCTGCTGTGACGGAGAACTGCCAGGGCTGGGTTATCAGGGTGTTGTGGCGACTCGTCGATGACGGAATTGTGGAGGAAGGCGCAGTCACCATGTTACAACAATACATGGACCCTATTAACTAGGATAGACCAGTAGACCCAATGGGTAGCACTGAATATACCAGTGATGAGGCTAGTCAAAGTCGCTGTCTTGCTATCCAAGTCAACAGCTCAATCTAATTGATACCTTGCGACCTGTTTCCAACCTTCATATCTATTATTTAAACATCTCAGAAGCGTCCATAGTTGCGAGGAACATACAAAATACACCGACGCACCACAAACATGTGTGAACACCGGAATTTAGGGGCTTGGAACGAGAAACGGCGTGTGGATTGCGCCCCAAGGTACTGGGTCTTGTCGTTTTTCCACTCCCGGGGCTTGGCAGCTCATGTAAGTAAGTAAGTTGCATGTCCAGGTTTGTTTTGTAGTCTCTGTATCCAGCGCTGCGTATTCCGTCTATACGCTATGAAACGCTGTGTACCCCTGCGCTGCGGTAACCGATGACATCCCTTTGAGTGCGCTAAGGTGCCACTTTTGTAACAGACCCACTTTTTCTGCGATACCTAGCAGGTACCTTTTTAGCAATAAGGTCGGCCATAAAACCTTTCACACTAAAATACTCATACTGAAAATTCGGGCATTTATAGCGGAGCTAACTAGTAATATTGCAAGTATCTTAACAGCTGATAATGCGTTATTCGTCTGCCTTAAACACTGCTAAATTAAGCAGCCTATACCGTTAATAATAGCGAATTATAACGATTTTATAGGTGCTATTAATATCGGCCTTTTTGGGGCCTTTAAGGACGGCTCTAGCCGGGAGAGATTTTAGGCTGGCGATATTTTTACGCTTGTATTACAGTATAATCTTATCCGTTAAGGGAAACGGGCTAGATACCTCGCTTATTAAGGCTTTTAATGTGGTTAAATTCGGTTATAAGGCTTAAAAAAGCCGCTTGCAGAGGTCTCTGGGAATAGCCTTAGAAGGCGAGCCCCTTACTCGCGTTGGGGCTGCGATATAGCTCTTTGTAAACTTGGAAACTGTTAGTACTTATACTATTATATTAATTCCTAGTAGGAAAATGTACCTTTTAATTTAAGACTTTTTATTGGTTCACATCCTTGTTCGGTACGCAAGTGGCACCTTAGCGCACTCAAAGGGATACAATGCGCCTGTCGAATCCGTAGCGTTTTAGAGCTGCGACGTGATTTCTGAAGGACTGGGCAAGTTCGCCACACAACTTGATGCCCCTGTCGTAGCGGACTCCAGCTCTCGCGCAAAGTCATCCTTCTTTTGTTTCTGTACTACTCCACGCTTCCTCTTCCGGCTCTGATTAGGGCCAATTAAACCTAAGGGCCGGCGACCGTGGAACTCGGCGCGCTTAAAATCCACAACCATGAGCTCACGACTGGTTGTATTGTATAGAATGTTACGTGGTTCCGCGTCACGGTAAAGAACGCGTAACTTGTGCATTGCCTTAAACGCTATAGTAACAGCGTTAGCGATGCCGTCTTTTATAGCCGAGTAAACACAATTAAAGAGCGGTTACCTAGCCTAGCTGAGGAACATAAAGTGCACATAAACGCTGCTATTATAATAGTATAGCTATACCAGACTAATAGTGCCCAGGTATACAAGGATATACTTCCCTTAGATAGCTTAAAGTCGGTTATATATATCGTTCTCGTGCTATAAACACGTAAGGTCTAGGCCCTTTATGCCCTTAATAACTAGTGTATAGCTGTGAGACGCTAGCCGCACCTTAAAGAGTGATCCGCGAGAACCGGATCTATGGAGTGGCGCGTAATTCGCATCACGTTCGCGGTCTATAGCAAAGCATTAATAAAAAAACTACACTACATGTAGTTTTTTAGTGTAGTTTATAGTATAGTATAGTTTTTATAGTTTTAGTGTAGTTTAATTACATTATAATTATATTTATAGTGTAATATATAATTATAAAGGGAAATTTTAATTATAAATATAACGTTAATTATAAGACTTATAAGGTTATAATTAATATCTTTAAATAGAGCTAATTCAGCTCTTTATAATACACTAGTTTTTATATATATAGCTTATAAATTAAGTGAGTTATAATAGGTTAAATCTTAGCTAAAAATTAAGATCTACTTTTTTAAAATAAGAGATTTAAAGCTTAATAACTTACTTATTAATAACGCTTTAAAGCTAATTTTATAAGATTCAAAATCACGTGATTTTTAGCTTTATTTTAATATATA